AAAACGTGGAGGTTTATGGTGATGATCTCGTCATATACAGTCAAAACGAAAACGATCACGTCAACCATGTAGAAGCCGTGCTGCGACGCATCGAAGAGTTTGGACTACGCGTCAACAAAACCAAGTCCCAGATAGCCAAAAAGAATGTTACTCTGTTGGGACATAAAGTGGGAAATGGTGAGATTAAACCACTGCCGGAGAAAATTTTGACGATTAAAACGATTCCAGCCCCGAATTCAAAGAGAAAACTGAGACAATTCTTGGGTAGAGCAGCGTTTTATAGCCGCTTCGTGAAGAACTTCAATGAGATAGCAGCCCCTCTATACAGGCTACTAGGTGAGCCAAAGTTTGTTTGGTCGGAAGAATCGCAGAGGACATTCGACAGAATTAAACAGCTGCTCGACCACCAACAAATGACGCTAAAACTACCTGTGCCAGGAAGACAGTTCACAGTGTGCACAGATGCCAGTGACTACGCTATAGGTGCGGTCCTAAGACAGGACGAGGGAATCGTTGAGTATGCCAGTAGGGTTTTGACACTCACAGAGAGAAAGTATTCAACGATAGAGAAAGAATGTTTAGCAATGGTATGGGCAGTCGACAAATGGAGACCTTATTTACTCGGCCGGCGGTTCCACATCGAAACTGATCATAAGCCGCTACAATTTTTGAAGACAGCGAGAGACCCACGGGGGAAGTTGTCACGGTGGATGTTGCGTCTTCAGGAGTACGATTTTACGATCTCACACGTTCCTGGAAGTGAAAATGTCTTGGCAGATTTGTTATCGAGACCAGAAGATGAGTCTGAGTTGCCCGAGGTCGCTTACGGAGTGCATGCAGTAGAACAAGACCCACTAAGACTTGCACGTAGGCAGAGGTTGGACGATACGCTGAATACAGTAATACAGGTGATCACCAACGGAATAGAAGTGGATCAAACTACGGCGAGTAAGGAGCTAACCACACTACTCAGACAGAGGGATCGACTCAGAGTGAATGCCTACGGGACTCTGACCTGGCGAGAGAACGACGGAAGCTGGCTGGCTGTCATACCTCAATCGTCGCGCCACGACATGATAGAAGAATGTCACCAGCTAGCGCATACAGGCGTGGCCAGAACGACCGATCTCCTAAGACAAAGTATGTACTGGCCAGGTATGAGAGAAGACGTAGCAAGATACGTACTTGGATGTCCACGGTGCCAGCTGATGAAAGGTGACCGGTGTATACGACCACCACTTCAGTCGATTCCAGTTACCGCGATAGGTGACTTGTGGTCCGTAGATGTCATGGGTCCATTTCCTCAGACATCCAATGGTAATCAGTACCTCTTGGTGATGACGGAACACGCGACACGATGGGTAGACGCCGTAGCAATCCCAGACCAACGTGCAAGAACCGTGACAGATGCAGTAGTTAGACACATTGTTGCAGACCACGGCGTACCGAAGACAATACTGACAGACCAAGGTCCCTGTTTCGAGAGTGAAGAGTTTACTTCCCGTTTGCAACAGCTGGGCATCAAGAGGATCAGAACGACCCCATACCATCCACAAACGAATGGCCTAACGGAGAGAAACAACCGTACACTGAAGGAGTGGCTGGCCTCGAAGGGCGGGAACTGGGAAACGGAGCTTCCACTGATTTTACTAACACATCGGCTACCACTCAGGAAACAACGAAGAAGTCACCCTTCCAACTGATGTATGGTAGAAAACCACGATTACCGGTACACAATGAGACCTGGCCCATGCACCAAAAGTGGAGTACGACGAAATTAAAAGCAGAGAGGAAAGAGGCAGTCAAGAATGTAATACGGAAGCAGCGCAGTGATGTCATGAAGTCTCAGATGAAAGAAAGGACGCAGTGCATTACCTTTGCAGTCGGGGACCAAGTGAAGTGTAGAGACAGGAGATATACAGTTGGAGGCGGGCTAGGTTCACGGAAACTCCTTCCAAAGTGGGAAGGACCATACACAATCACAAAAAGACGGGGTCAAGTATATACCATCCGAAGAGGTGATAAACAGAAACGAGTTAACGCCAGTCAGCTCCAAAGATGGGTACAGTGGGACAAGCCGGTCAGTAACAATCCTCAACTAGAGGATGTAGCACCCAGAAGGTCGGAACGTCTGCGCACGAAGCTATTTGACGGGGGGACGAGTGTGGTGAGAGCAGGCTGCTAGCCGATTGGTTGGCACTAATCTACGTTAAGGTCTAGGTCACTAATATGGGCCGTGAGAAAATATGAACAAGGCTGAGTCAACAACCAATCACAGCAAAGTTAACGTGGCAAAATATGATTCGCAGATAGAGAACTCTATTTGTCAAGGAATCCCGAAACAACCAATCAGAAGCCTGCGTTTGTCTACCTAACTTCTGATAAACAACCAATCAGATGACTGCGCTTGTCTATAATAATGTAGTTGAAATATGTATAAATACGTGTTGATTTTCATAATAAAACGATCTGTTGCCTGGCCCTTGTCTTCTGTTGTTACACTATTTGCGTCAATATTGAGGCTGAAATTTCGTGTTGGCTGAGATTGGATGGGGGGAGGTAGGTATTCCTTGTGGATAGTATGCTGGGAAAGAGTTACGTGTATCGCAGTTATGACTATACAATATACAAATTAAAGGCTCGAGATATTTCTGATTTTTATGAGGGCTTAGATCTTTATCTTGAAAAAGATAATAATGAACGCCTTGACAGATCATGCTTCTACCTTTAAATATATACCATTCGCCCAGCCTATTGTTGAGATGCGACCATGTGGGATCTGCACAGATTTATGGGGCATCTTATAAACTAACTTGCTGTCCATTGACTGATCTTTAAATACCACTTCACAATGTCTTATCTCATTCATTTTCCAATAACGTCTTTACTTGATCCTCATTATATCCCATTAAACCTAACATTTTACAGCTCTTTATGATTTATTATATTCCTACTCTCTGAAGGGTACGGTTGTGCACTAAATGCACAAAAAGGTATAAAACAAAAACAACTGGCACAAATGAGGATAAATGTATTAAAACCAAAAGTGGACTTCATGATAGTGCAAACTGTACATGAAGCGTTATACATTGCAAATGAATGTTGTCAGCCTAGGGAGTTTTCTTTTTTTTAATGCATTTATTAATGATACTTGCACTTACCTATTTCATTACAATTTATTTAATTCACCTCAGCACTTTTACTTTTCTAAATACAGCTTTCAATCCCTTGTAAACGTTGTACTTACCTCAATATTGGTTGGTTATCGTATGCCGACAACCACGGGATGAAAACGAAACGAAGTCGATTTTCCCGCTCAACCTGGAGGACAATTGTACAATTCAATAACTATACAGCCTAGTTCAGACAATGTGTATTTATATATATATCAAATATTTAACTGTTGAAACATTATTAACTTGTAGACAATCTACGATTTGATATTATATCATACTTGATCGTGCCTGTAAAAATGGCATGCATTTTCATGTAAATTTATATGTTTATATGAGAATATACATTATTATTATTATTATTATTATTAATATTTTGTGTGTTTAAGTTATTTTCGTAAATATTAGTCTATTGACGGTCTTGGGTTGTCTGTATGCGCTGGTTTTCGGGGATGTGGTGAGTCAAAGGGCCACCTTTAGGAAACATGCCTAGGCCACTTGTTCCTTGTTGTAGAGGTCCCTGGATCAAACTTTTGTCTATAGTAGCCATAGATTGGAGAGTTGTGTCGGGGTAGGTGTATGCCTGCCCGTCGGGCTTCGACTTATTTTTAGGGTGCCCAGACATATGGCGTCTGTTGTGTCTATCGGACGAAGATTTGTTCGATGTTGGATGAATCGGCGGGTTACCTCTCTTTTCATTGACGTTAGATTTATGGCGGTATGAGGGCTTATTCTGCTTCCCTGGTTTAGTGGTATGATTGGGATCGCTTAAGTTAATATTATCTAGTTCGCTGCTGAGAAACCTATCAGTGATGTGTTTGGGTACAGGTATTCTGGATGGCAGGGTTATTTGACTTCGTTTTGTATGCTCACTAATCTGAGTGCTGCTCGGGGAGGATATGCTTAGTGCTACATGCTCGAGCTCAGCCTTTTGCTTAACGTTGGTAGTGGTATTAGCGGCTGATGGTGATGTAGCTAGCGAGCAAACCTCTGAAGATGCATCTAAGTCTATGACCGTAGTTGCTTCATCGTTGAGTTTACTAGGTAAATTTTTATTATTTAACAGTATTTCATATATGTCTGTACCATTAGGTTTACTCAAGTGTAAGGCGACAGAGTCTTCTATAGGACATTCTGCTGTTACGTAAGTTTTTGTGACACTTGGTACACTTGCGCGGCTACGTCTTTGACATGGCGTTAGGTCATGGGCAAGTTTAATGTTACCATAAGGTGTGGATGAACTAATTAACTTATTTGACGACTGAAATTTCCTAGCATCATTAGGACTACTGAATTTAAACAGCACAGGGCAAGTATACTTTCCTGATTTTTTCCTGAGTCTGATTAGGTGGCAATTCGCTGATGGCATGCCACACGCTTGGAGACATGTCACTTTGATTTTGTCCAGAGGCGTCCGATCAGGCAGATTGTAAGCGAGAACGTTGTACGAGGACATGATTCGTTTAGTAACTTCACTGGCTATAAAGTCTAATATACGCTCAGATTTCAGCAGACTTTCCGGATTAGCATCATGAGTTGGGTTACAAAGAAGCAGTAGTGGCTTAATGGTGTTTATATTCTCAGTCAATTCCTTCACAGAGTTTCCTAGAGATATGAGGTCCAACTTATTTTGTTCAGCAGTTGCATATACCTCTGACAACAAGTCGGGAACAATGACTTCAGGGACATTGTTGAGGCTACGTGGAACGCACAGTGATGTACGTATCTTCTTAGCTGAGTGACCCAAACTATTCTTACGTATGGAAAGTACTCGTTTATTACGTTGTGCCATTGCTGAAAACTAATCAGATTCAGATGATAAGGATAGAAGGCTCTTGTGGCCTGTGTTAATCCTTGCAAAGTATATCTCTGCAGAGATCTAACTTCTCTTTGAAAGCGTTCACCGATGGAGCTGATACTACTGAATCAGGTAAGGAGTTCCAATCGTTGACCACTCTGTGAGAGAATCTAAATTCTGCACGTATTTTAATCGTCCTTGGTTTGAGCACCTTTTTGCGGTGACCCCGTAAATGTATCCTAGAAGGGGAGAAAAGGTTAGAAAGGTCAGTTCCTAAATCACCCTTAAGTATACGGTATGCTAAAATTAAGTCGCCTCTCTTCCTTCGGTATGATAACGGGAAGAGATTTAAATGCTCCATCCTCTTATCATAAGGAAGGTGTGAGATACCACTAACTAATTTTGTTCCTACTCTCTGTACTCTTTCCAGAATATGTGCCTCCTTTTTGAAGCATGGACTCGTCGCTTGTATGCAGTATTCTAGATGAGGCCTGACATATGTTGCGTAGAGTATTTGGAACATGCCCTCGTCTAATCGTTTGAAAGCCCTTCGAATTGCCCATAGCATTCGAAAAGCTTTAGCTGCGGCTGCATTGCAATTTGCAGTTGTTTTCAAATCATTGCTGACAATGATTCCTAGGTCCTTCTGTTCGTTAACATCAGGTAGTTCTGCATCCCCTAGGGAGTACGACGCATAAGACTTCTGACCTAAGTGCATTACCGCGCTTTTCCTAGCATTCATTTCCAAACTCCATAGGCTTGACCACTCAGCTAATTTATCTAAATCAGTTTGTAGGGCCGACCTATCCTCGTTATTGTTTACAGTTTTCCATATCTTAATGTCATCTGCAAATAATAATGAAGATGAAGAAAGAATCCCTGGTAATTCGTTAACGTATAATAGGAATAGCAATGGACCTAATACAGTTCCCTGGGGCACTCCACTGGATACTGCTTTCCATCCTGATAGTACACCGTTAACTCTAACCTTCTGCCTTCTATCCATTAAGTAATCTCTAAACCACTCACATAGGCATTGGTCTAGTCCGAAACCTTTCAGTTTACTAAGGAGACCTAAGTGGGATACTTTGTCGAACGCCTTGCTAAGATCAATAAAAACCACGTCCAACAGATGGTCCCTATCTCTGGCCTCAACCCAGTCTTCCCTAGCCAATAGTAGGTTTGTCAAGCAGGATCGTCCTGGTCGGAATCCATGCTGTTCCACAGCCAACAAGCCATGTGTTTCAACATAAGCTAATAGTTGATCCCTTATAATAGTTTCCAGTACCTTTGCAATAATGCATGTCAGACTTACCGGCCTGTAGTTAGATACCAATTGCCTATCCCCGTCCTTGAAGATAGGGCTTATAATGGCATCCTTCCAGTCCCTGGGTAGCTTAGCCTGCGTCAGAGACATTTGGAAAATCTCCGTAAGCGGAATATATATTATATCCGCCAAGGAAATTAACAACTTAGGGTGAAGTCCATCCGGCCCAGGTGATTTACCTGGCTTCAGTTTAGACAGTAGTTTGAGAACCTTTGTGTGCTCTACCACAATTGAGGGCATCTGAGTGGCGATGGCAGTGACCTCGCCATATCCCTGGGTGGTACTATCAGACGAGAAGACGTCACAGAAGTATTCAGAGAGGTTTTCAGCCTTTCCTTCGTCTGACTCAGCCGCTTCTCCACTAATGGTTATGAGTGACGGTATACCACTGCTAGTTTTAGTCCTACGTTTAATATACGAGTAAAACCTTTTTGGGTAATGAACGCAATCTAGTACTAATCGTCTCTCGTACTCTATACGACTCTTGTTAATCGCATACTTACAGAGGTTTCGAGTTTTGCGGTAGTCTTTCTGGAAGTTTTCCCTTCCTGTCATAACAAATTGGTCCCATAAGTTCTTTCGCCGTCTTAATAACCTCCTTATTTCACTAGTGATCCAAGGAGGTTCATGCGACGGCTTTCGAGGAGTGTACCAAGGTATAAAAGGTGAAGTGACACGATCTAGTGTATTCCTAAATCCTACCCAAGCTTCCTCGACAGTCTGACTTGTATCAACTGACCAGTCAACCACAGTTGCTGCGTTCCGGATTCCTTGTATATCCGCTTTCCAAATGTTTGGACGAGCAGATTTTGGCCTGTGCATGAGAGAATGAATCCTAAACGTAAAAGCAATGACTATGTGGTCACTGCTGCCAAGCGGCGGAAGGCACCTAATGTTACCAACGTCCTCCTTCTGGTGTGTCAATACCAAGTCTAGAGTAGATGGATCATGTTCAGGGTGATACCGTGTTGGTGCATGCATATGTTGCACGAGTGCACATTCAAGCACTGTCAATGTGAGCTCCCTATTGAAACAGGTATACAAACTAGTGGAGTTTAATTCCCCCCAATTAATATGTGGAGCGTTAAAGTCGCCAACAATCAGACACCTATTTCTACTACCCCACGCCCTCAAGTGATTTAGAACGAAGTCATCAGCTTGGCTAGCAGGACTTCTGTAGATAACTCCGATCGTTAAAGTGCCTTTGTTTAAGTTAATGATGCAACTTGCGGCTTCACTGGTGCCGCTGTCATGAGCTTCTGACAACGTTGACCTGATCCCTATGTCATCCCGGATGTAAAGAGCAACCCCCCACCTTTCCGACTACTTACTCTGTCTGCTCGTATGCAGATATACCCAGGTATGAGTGGAGTTAAGTCTACACCCACTAACAACCACGTCTCAGTGATAGCAATTACATCAGGTTGTAGTCTTTCAGATAACTCTCCTAATTCGGCGAGCTTATTCCTAAGACTACATGCGTTCGTATAGCACACCGAAACACCTACGTGTTCACCCGGCTTATGAAGAGAGGTCTCGGCAGCATCGGTTTCCGAGACCTCACCACCCGAAAACCCAATAGTTTGAGGTCCTTCTCGCCTTTCTCTAGCCTGGCCTTTAGTTCAGCCACGGCTTCTCTTCTTTTGATTCTATCTTCCAAAGGCCAATCAGGCCTTATTTTTAGACTTTTGTCGTTGACTTTGAACGCGTTGTCGAGGATGGTCCTCCTCTCTGTTTCGTTCCCTAAAACTACCTTAAGTAGTCGTCGAGGAGTTCCTGTAGCATCAGGGTTTCGTTTTCCGATCCTGATAGCCTTTCGTACGTGTACTCCAGTTGTTTTTTCGGGAAGTATTTCCCGGAATATGGAGCTGATCGCCTTCAGATCATCTGCATGTCGGGCAGCTGGATCTGTGTTCTTAGATTCCTCCAAGTTCCAGATGATAATACTGTAACTAGAGTCCGTGGGTTTCTGAGTTTTGCTGGAACTAACAGTCGTCGAGACCTTGTTGGTAAACTCGGCTACTGTTTCTTTCCTAGTTTTGTTTAGCTTCTTACCTTTCGGCAGCAACCAAGTGGAGTCCGTTTCTCCTACTCTGTTTTCGCCGCGACTAGAAGCCATTCGTGCACTAGACACGCTGCGCTTTGGCGTTGCTATTTCACAGGCTGGTTTTGCCATGCTGGCACTACTTGCCCTTCTGGATTTCCGTTGCCTTTTGCGCTTTGCAGCAACAGATGTTTGGGCATTTTGTGCTTCTTTCGCTTCTGAGACTTCAGGAGGTGATGCATCCTGAATCTTACAACTATGTCCTGAACCGCCATCCTTGGCTAAGGTTTCTGGTACAGGCTTTCCAACTATGTCTTTCGACAATTTCTTGGACATCAAGAGTCCTACTGCCTCTTGGATGAGGACATCTAACGGGTTGCTGCAAAATTTGCACAGCCATGGAGATGATGGCTTGCAACATCTCTTATAGGCTACTGGTGTTAAACCAGTGCAAACTTTGTGGAACCAAAGGCTGCAGTTGTCACACTGCATCCCATCATCCACCGGAAAGTGGCAGTCCGGTCGTCCACAATTGTTAGTTGGGGCCATAATTTTAATTTGTTTCAACTATACAGTTATATATACGTGAAAACAGTGAGGTTAATATCAAACAAATACACACTTATATATACGTGTGACAGCTAGGTAAATACCAACCAAAACACAAAATGTGAATAAAATAAACAACACTTCGACTAAATAAATCAGTCAAAGTGAACTAAAAGCTTCTGATGTGGTTTAAACAACAAAAGCAGAATTTACTTCACAACGTTAAAAGTGCCACTCCCCTTTTCAAAGCGCGCGCCAGTTATGTCAATATGGTTTAAAGTTAAAGACGAGCTAAATCGAAAACGGGTATGTGGAAAAATAGTATATCGAGTGGATATACAGATTAAGTACTACTATGGATACCGTATGGAATTTTATTGCTTATAAATAAACAATAAATTTACAAAGTACTAAAGAGTAAAATACAGAGTATATAGAAACCAATTATCCTGTAAATTGATCCTGATATGTAAACCACAAAATGATGAACTTCTCTACAGTCTTCTTTTCTGTGACGTTGTTCTAAGGTTACAATAAGGAGGATGAGCCCTACGAAAGAGTGGATCCAAACTTGATAACTGGCGGTGATATATTTGCAGAATTGGAATCTAGAGTAGCAGCCAATATAAGTTATAGTTGAGCAGTGGTATAATATCCACTACAATACTCCAGAAATCGACAAAAATATATCCACGTTATGGGGAGAGATTGTAACGTCCGATCAGAATCGCGCGCGTAAATTGTGTCTGTGATTGATGAATTCCTATAATACATGTGTAAATTTATTCGGCCTCTAGAGGCTCTCGAGTGATAAACATGTTCCAGCATTTGTATTTACGCCCAATAGTCGGCCAAACTCCTGATTTACCCATGAAAGCAGTGTTTATGACCTTTTAAGAGAAAACATGTGATCAAGGTTTAGGTTATTCGAGCGTCATTTGTCTGAATCACACCCATAAAGCCCTCACTTCAGATTTCGACTAAACAACCCAGTTCTATGAGGAAACTACAGGAATGATGGCATTCACGTTGGCTAATTACGTATTTGATCGGGTCGACATTTTTGCTTAGGATGCTGAGGTGGAGTGTTCATTTCTTCATAAACGTGGACGATTTATGAGTTACACCTCCCCGTTATGAAAGAAAATCAGGCCAAGGTTCGAAAATCATAACGGTCGGGTTGTCTTATATGTTGTACTAGAACTAGGCTATGCCACTTTGTAGTCGGTAATAATTTCTGGGGACGAGTTCGCACAGAGAACTGAAAGAATTTTGAAATCATCGACTGTCAGACTGTAAAATTTGGACGTCAGGGGGCCCAGATTTTCGACTCGTTTCTGAAATCTGAATTGGAAACGTCATAACCAACAACAAATATTTCTCAAACGGGAAGTTTATATCCTCATGAAAGAACATGAGGGCAGACCAAAAATCCGATATATAATTATGGGAACCGTTAGTTTTTCGTCTAAATAGACGCCAGTAGGAGAGATAATTAAAACGCGCGGTTGTTTCACCTCATTCGGAGACTTTTCATCGGTTGGTAGGGGCTTCATAGGAAGCTCGGTAACAGAATAAGCATTTGTATACTAATCCAAATTAATGAAATAACAGCATAACACTGTACGATAAAAATACGGTCAAGGAATTATGTTAATTAATGGTTACCTGGTTACGCACTTAAAGCCCACTGATAAAAATTACTAATATAATCTACAGAAGTGTTCACTGCTGGGGTTGTGTCTAATGGCAGAAGCTGTGTACCACTTGTATCATAGTCTTTGGATGAGAGACTTCCACAAAACGCAAAGAATACAACACGACTAGCAGTGAATCAAGTAGACAGTATGTACCGGTAAGAGGTTGAACCGTCGAGCAGCACACTGCATCTTAGGTTGTACCGCGAACTTATGTGTATTTCACAATGAACCATTTTAAGCAAAAGTTATGTGCAATGTTTCTATTTATAACGTCTAACAAAAAACTGTTGAATCATATTGGTGCGGACTTCACTCGGCGCTCAGGCAATAACTCATCAAGAACCTAATCCATGTCCTTCATGTCATGAGACCATGTCTGTTAAGCATTCAGCCTCCTACACCGGGATTCAGATTTCATATTTATTGGTTTAGGATAAAAGGCTAGAAGCCCATGTTAATCCTCTTCTTATAAATTTCAGTGCTTGTCCTAACCCTTCCTGAATGAATGAGTTGGGGGTGCAAACATCACTTTTGAGAGTCAGTTGCAGGAGTTTATGATTTGGAGTGAGAACCAGAACACCACAGGAGTATAGTTTCTCCTTGTATTCAAAACCTCCTGCTGTTTCCTCTAATGGCTCCTCCCCCTGGTGGGAAGGAAAAGGGTGAATAGGTTAGATCCGTTTGTCATTATTTAAAATTTTAAACATTTTAGTTAAATCTCCTCTCTGCCTACGGTGTGACAGGAAGGAGAGTTTTAAACCGTCTAGTTTTTCCTCGTATGACAAATCTGTCATGCTGAGAATCATAAGTGTTGCCTTCTTTTAAGCCTATCTAGAATATGTGAGTGCTCTTTAGGACAAGAACTGGCTGCCCGGATACAGTTTTCCAGTTTTGACCTCACCAGAGATGTATTTAAAGAGGTGAACATCTCTGGTGATTCTACTAAAGGCTCTGCGAGTTGTCCATAATGACCTGAAACTACATGAAGCCACTACGCGACACTGTGCTCTAGTTTTTGAATCGTGACCTAAAATTACATCTAAATCCCAATGACTCTGAACTGATGGGAGTGTTATTCCCTCTAGCTCGCAGAAGCAGATGCTGGCGTATCTGATCCTCATGGTCGCACGTTTCGCTACAGTGATCAGGAGCACCCGTACTCGGAACCACTCTGACAC